TTTGATATAACATTTTTTGGAGGAATTATTTGTTTTGTGTTTTAAATAATTGTTATTAGTATTTTTGCACAAGTAAACATAACAAATCCTACAAGGTGATTGGTCAAATTGACGTATTAATCTGTTATATTCACCTACAGGTGAATATATCAAAATCGAAATTTTCAAAATGGCGGCTAGCCGTTTTGTTGAAGTTAGTGATAAAGAAATAAGCGAAATTAAAATGAATTCAGACCAGAAAAACACAAAAAAAACTTGTGTGCAAAAGTACTAAAACAATTATTCGCCCCAGGCTCGGTGATTATCGGGGAATATTCACCTCGACTTCGTCTCGGCGAATATTCCCCAATAATCATTCACCTCGCCTTCGGCGAATAATTGTTAAATGTTTGGCAGGCATAATTATTTAAAATAGTACAATTTATTATGTACAGTTTGCTATATGTTCTAGTATTATTTATAAATGGGACACAAAGTGGTTTCTTCACATGATAGTATTTAATTTTTATCAATAAACTTTTTGATATAGATTTAGACTAATATGATCGATAGCGATAACAAATTTATTAAAGAACGACGTTTCGAAGTCATCTTGATCTTATTTTCAAGTTCAAATTATTACAGAAAACGATTAAATAAATATAAATAGCGTACCATTATAATTCGTACCATTGCTTGTAAACGCTATTTATATTAATTTAATCGTATTCTGTAATAATTTGAACTTAAAAATGAGGTCAAGATGACTTCGAAACGTCGTTCTTTAATAAATTTGTTATCGCTATCATATTTGGTAATATTATTAATAGTACAATTAGGGCAGTTCAAAAGCCTTGGTCTGGTGTATTGTTGTCAGATTGGCCGAGTACGCCAATCAGTGACAGTGATGCAACATCCAAGCTAACGCTACTGTCTGAAATTAGCTGGGTGCACGAATAACATGGTAGATTGGTAGATGAATATAATAATATAATTTTTTTAATCCAAATAAACATGTTGACTTGTCATAGTTTCCATGCATGCAAGAAACTAGTTGCTATTTTGCATGTCTGAGATGGAGACAAAGATGCTGCACCCTTGAGTGTGAACAGCAATAAATCGGACCACCATTTTGATATTTGATGCAGTGAAAGACGTTTGACTAGGTTATATAGTGTAAAGTGTGAACAAAATAATTATACATGGTTAGCTAATCATTGCAAAACACGTACAAACAATGTTCTGTTCCCTAATTGTAAACATGTCGATTTCGTACAACCAAGTGCAAAAATAATAAAACTTTTCATATTTTTATCCTTTATCTAAATTCTTTCCCCCTCCTCCCGGCAGTAAACAATGTTGAGAAACAGTTTGAACTGACCCTCTGCCTTTATGTCATATTTACAAGATATTGTTTTGGGGAAAGGGGAAATTGCACTCAGTGTTGCAGTGTTACCTTAATAATTTTTGCACGTGACTCAATCGGTATTTTTGGAGCATTTGCCACCGAAAAGGAAGGATGGCGCTGAAAAATGGGAATCCACCCACCTCCCCTCGGCTGCGACACTTCCGGAGCTAGTTTCGCCGCACTCTAACATTGGCTGAAAATTATCTATCCCCAATATTAATATTCCTTCAGTTAAAGGCATTGTGAGGGGAAGCAAGCAGTGAGAATATATTATAACCTATGATTTACTATAATTTCTTGATAAAATCGAGTATAAAGTAGATGTTTCTGTAAATTTCTTCGATATTTCGATTGAAATGTTAAATGGAACTATATCTTTAACCTACGGTTATCCAACTGACAGGCAGTGATTGGGCGAGAGATTAATTTTATGGCTGAGTGTGCAGGTCAAAAACATATAATCTATCTTAATTCAAATACAGAAATATCGGAACAAAACGGTAAAGAACTGTAGGCTGTTGTTAAAGCCAACCCAGGAGAATCTATTTTCTTTGCCAACACAGCTCAGATTGGAAATTATTGTGAGCAAACCACCTCGTCCACGAAGGAATTTATGCAAAGATCAACTTTTTCATGAATACCTATCAATCGCAATAAAACAAGTTCACTTTGCCTTCAGAGTTTCTCTTTTTAAATCATATAAAATTCGTATTTACCAGTTTTCACAAATTTACGGCACATCCTGACGCGCCCATGACGGCCAAATTCAAAGCAAACCGACACTTCTTAGCCTTCTATATTGTGAATCATGCTAGACTTGCCAGCTTGCAAAATCACCAACATGTAAACAAGGCAAGTTGTCTAGATCTATTATATTGTGTTCATGAAATAATACAACTAGGCTACATATTTTTAAATATGACACATCTTTATATTTCTGATAAATGAATAATAAAAATCACTTTCTTAATTATAGTAAAGTATAATAATTTTGAAAAATTGTTCTAATGGATCTGATCTATGACTCGCACGAGTCAGAACATGAATGAACACAAGTGAACACAAATGAACATGGGTGAACACGATGAACACGAATGAAAGACAAGTGAACACGAATGGGAACACGAGTGAACACGAATGGAACACGAGTGAAATATGATAAAATCATATCCACAATATATACTTGCAGGATGACGTACTAAATAAATGACCAAAAACTCTTGATGTCGAACATAAGAACCAAGGTGTGAGCTTGTTTTGCCCGACCAAAAGGGCGTGGCCGAAGTCGTATCCGACGGAGATTTCAGTCGCTAAGTAATATTTCTTTTTCTAAAATTGTTGGCGAGCGGGCATAACATCCGAGCATGCATAAAATTAATTTGAAATCATGCAAAGAAACTAACATTTGAACTAACAAAATTGGAGAACAACCAAGTTTTAAAGATCTCGTGTTGACCTACGCGTTCACCAAATTTCTTGAAACTTTGATAGCTTGTGCAAAACAGTCCATATTTTGAATTTTGATGAAAAACTTTTTTTGCGTAAGGCCTTTTTGGGGGGAGTTTTAGTAACAGCTTTCCTTCTAAAAACGTACCGGAGAACGTTAAAGTACATAGGCTTACTGAAAGTTTTCGCAAATGTCGCGCGCATCTGACTTTGGTGAATTGCGAACTTTTGCCAACTGTGTAGTTTTTTTTATACACCCTGTATTGCAGTTTTGCCGATCTGATCTAAAACTCCACACGAGTCAGGACACGAGTGAACACAAGTGAATACGAATAAACACAGCCTAGACCGCTAGGCCTTCTATTTTTATTTATATTTTTTTTAATATTCAGCGTTTTTTTCACATGAAAAGACTGGGACTAGGTGATTTGGGGGCGGGGCGGAGGAAGGACGCAAGCCTGACGCAAGCGAAAAAATAGAAGGCCTAGTGGATTTCCCAACAACAAGGCCAAAACTGCCCTGAACTGCCCTGGTTGCGAAATGCCCAATTATTGCGTTCTCAAACAGAATTATTTGCAACTTAACAGCGAATTTAAACCGATACAGGTAAAATAAACTCATTTATAGTATAAACTTACTATTTTTATTTGTATACACGTCTAGAAAATCGGGGTTTTTATCATAAAGTTTGAAGTCACACTATTATTATGTTGACAAGGTGTAGCGAAAGCACAAAATGAGTCAAAATATATACCAAAAGTAGAATCTTTCACGACACAATTAAGACACGTTGTTGTTAACTTTTTTTTTGTTTTTGGAGAAGGAATATGTTTGATACAGTTCAAGTTTGGAAAATAAACCATTGCGCAGTTAGTTGTCGGATATTTACAATTTCTCTGCGTACCCTAAAGGCATTGCACGTAGCAACCGGCTGTCGGAACAAGAGGGACTTACCAACATTTATTAACACAAATACCTATAAATTATCAAGTTCACAAGAAACCTTTTTTGAATCGCCCTACTCCCCCTTCTCAATTATTCTTCTGCTGTCCCCACTTCACTGCCATGCCGTAACATCACAAATCACAATCCCCGCAAGAATCGATTTTACTTTGTTCGTATAGTGTGAGTATTGACCTATTAATTAATAAGTCGTATTAGTGTTTTAGTCGATTAAGACTCATATGTCACTCGTGTTCTATTCGTGTTCACTCGTGTTCCATTCGTATTCATTCGTGATCACTTGTGTTCACTCGTGTTCTGCCTCGTGTCGAGTTTTAGATGAGATCGACAAGTCTATTATTTTAAAGTATATACTCAAGAACTGAACATGCTACAATCATAGACAAATTTACTCGGACAAACATGGCAAATAAATTTTTTTTGCAACATTTTCATATATACTTCGTAAAGTTGGTCCCCCCTCCCCTGAAACAATGTTGATGAACATTTCAGTCATCATGGCAAGTATTGCGGTATTTGTACCAGCAACATTGTAACGGGGGAGCGGGGAATACGGCTGGATATGCGTACAAATATTTGATTGCCTTAAACTTCAGCCACTTTTAATCAGCGTCCGCGTGTTATTTGTCTAGGATTGTCTGAAAAACTATCGGTTGTATAAAGCATGAATTATTGTACAATTTTAGCCCATTGTCACATTTTATAAATACTGAAGTTCTATAAACACATGAATAAGATATTATATTAAAAATATTAAAAATTTATGTTGAAATATGCAGAACATTTTGATAATTACAGTTAGTTGATTAGATTGTTGGCGTCATATGATTAACGTAATGTGCGTATAAATCGCGACATGGCGAGAAAAGTATGCGCGGAGACAAGAGCTTTAGCTCGTTTTCATAGAGAATATACAGGTCTGAGTTATCGACAAATAGCCGTTCGATGTGGAATATCAAAATCAACAGCGCACACAATATGTCGGAAGCAAATTAACCGTGTCAGTACATGCATCCGCAAGCCGAAAGGTCGTCCAAAATCTTTAAACGAAAGGGATGAAAGACTTCTACTTAGAGTTTTAAAGTATTACAGAAGAGAATACGTTAACTTCTCAGTAAAAGATCTAATGGTAGAATGTGGATTTGACTCACAGAGAGTGCATCAAAGAACAGTTTCCAGATACCTTAACCGAAACGGCTTCTACATGAGGCAAGCAAGGAAGAAGGGACTTTTAAATGACAAAGATAAACGACTCAGACTTTCCTACGCGCGTGAAATGACAAGAGTTTTACGTGACCACTCAGATTACTACACTAATCACGTGGCTTTCTATCTGGACGCAGTATCGTTTGTACACAAGAACGACCCTCGTAAGGCAGCAATTCAACCGAACTCGCGAGTGTGGAGAAAGAAAGGGGAAGGGCTTGCCGTCACTGCGAAAGGCAGCAAAACTCTGGCAGGTGGGATACGCCTTCATGTTCTTGCAGCCATCGCTTGGGGCAAGGGTATCATCCTCAGCAAGGTCTACAATAAAATGAACGGTGATTTTTTCGCAGAATTTGTCCAAAATAACTTTAATTTGTGTTTTGGAAAAGCAGGACCTAAAACCGGAAGAAAGAGATTGTTTGTTATGGACAATGAT